AGAGAGAGAGAGTTGAGGTTGAGTTGGGCATGGATTTGCATCTTTCTTTTTCGTTCCTTTTTCATCTGTGTATATAAAATTTTGGTGTCGATTACGGGCGACTCGCCCTTGTCTTTTGCGACCCTCTTTGTCGTTTGTTTCGACTTGGTTTTCTCTCAATGTTTTACGTTTTGATTTTTTTCTCGGACTTTCTTTTCGCGAAATGATGTATGGATAACGCGCGCACATCTTGCACTTCGTTTTTGAATGACGTCCCGGACTTATGAAATCGGATGGGAATGGAGATGGCATGTTGGCATGATTGATTGGATGTCTGTCGTCTCACAATGATCGTCTTACAAGCATGAGCGGATGTATCGTATGCACGCATATAAGCACGATCCGAACGGAGTGTGGCTTTTACGCGTCCGGACCACTCGGACCTGTAATTTGTGTCTTGTCTGTCGCACAAGGTTAGCCCTTCGTGAGCGGGAGTTGATGTCCACAGGATCGGGTTAACCATCGCCCGCCGGTGCGCGTAAGTGCGACTCATTCGCGTCTTTCTTACGCACTTACGGACGGTGATTTCCCCAAACAGCTTGTCCCCTAGGATGTGAGTGATAAAAGAATGACGAGCTCGCGGAGTTCCGGCGTATCTTGGAATTCCAAGGATTACAATATTTCGGGTACCGAGAAATCAGGGAAGAAGAGCAGCTCCGATTACGGGGAAATTTGAGGAACCCGGTATTCCCCTGCCTCACAGAGAAGGATAGATTCTGCACTAGGGAATTCCATCTCGCCGTACAAAGCGACCCGCGGGGACCTGACTACCCAAACACATACAACACGCAATATTTCATACATCCCGGCTTCGCTCTTATCGCCACTAATTTCCCGCCATACCACCGCCTCCTCCCCTATCATCAGCTTACAGCAGTACCGTGGAATTCCATAGCACCGTACTGGCCATCCACCCTGTGCCGAAGCTGCAGGCGGCGTTCCCATACTCGAACCCCCGAAGCCTCGACACCTGGGCCTAGTTCCCACCAACCCACGCCACGTGGCGGGCCCCGCAGACGTGAGCCCCAAGGACCGCCTCGACAGGCTCCCCTGATCTGGCGATCGCGTCAGGATCGGACGGCCCCGCACCACTAACGTGCCAGCCCACGCCCGTAAATTTTCCCATTGCTCTATTGCATCTATGCCCCTTAGCCTTGCCACTGGAGATCCCATCTCGGACCTGGGACTCCACCCCCACCTTCCAAAAATCCTTGGCACACCCCTTTTCGCACTTCCAGGCCCACACCCTACTTTGATCAGGAAGTCGCGCCGGGCGTGAGGTTGGTATCGGAGCCCGACACGTGGCTAAGCGATAAGGGTTTGTAGACTCTATACTGGCTAAGGCGAGGCGATCTGGCTCCACGTAGGCGCCCTCCAGCGGGTAATACACGTCGATGTAGTCTTGTAGCTACACGAAGCCGAACCTCTGCCACAAGGCAAGCAAGCGCCATGGCTGCGGCCGCTGCTGCAGCAGCCGTTGCGGCGGCCATTCCCAATCAACCGCCTAACCCGCGTGCGCGAACCCCTGCGGCTCCACCGAATCTTTATTTATTTGACCCAGCACATCATCTCGCTGGAGCATGGTTGGCCACGCCCTGAGCTCAGCGGTATACGAACGATGAAGCTCAGATTAACATCCCCGCGCGGATGGGGGGAGACACCCATCATTGGTATACCACTTATGTATGGGTGGATCTTCCCACATTCGAGCCGGATTTCATGAACCACTTCGATTATGTTCACCCCGAACAGACACTCTATATGATCAAGGATCGAGTTCAGAAACCACTCGAATCCATTACCGAGTATCAGAACAGATTTCATCGAATGTTTGTAAAGACTTAGCGAGGTGAGCAGGTAGGCCGGGACCTGCTCATTGATGGACTACGTAACAGAACGATTCGGGGGAAGCTACGTAAAAACTTCTCTCCCATTAATCATACGTTGCAACAAATTATGGACGTTGCCGAAGAGATGGAGCGGAAATTCGCAGCTAGCTTCTTAGAAAATGAGGATTACGGTAGAGAAGGAGACTCGTCCGAACTTGTGAAAGCAAGGGCGGAACTGGCCGCACTGCAAAACAAATTCGAAAACGTGGGATTCGTAGCCGGACCCGTTTATGTAGAGCAGGTAACACCGAGGACCGCACCCCATGGAGCGACCGTAGACAGGCAGACCCCGGTAATGGCGTCCCCAACCGTAACTCGGCCACCCACCATCGAGTCACCCGCAAAAACGAATGAGTCTACTGCTATCTTGGAGCTAACTAAAACATTGCTTAGTCTAATTCAAGAAAGCAAGAAGGAACAGCGAGAGCACAACGCCGGATTAGAAGCTATGATGTGGAATATGCGACCCATTGCAGTGCGGCACCAATGCAGGGAGGCATGGCTGCTGCACAAGTGGCAGCGGGGCCACCCGGGACAGTGACAAATGCCTGTTTTACATGTCATCAACCGGGACACTTGGCACGAGATTGCCCCCATCGTGCCATGCAGCCCCGAGCCGGGATCGCGCCTGCAGCTGCAGCTCCCATAGCTAACGGCCCAGGACGTGTAGGAGCCGTGATGGATGATCAGGGGGGAAGTACGGGAATGATGATTTCCAGTGAGGAAGCAGCTAAGCTTATCCCACTGGAGCAGTACGTATCACTAGGATACCCGGGGCTGGGAATGATTGGGACAATTCGACCAGAACTCGAGTCCAGGGATGTCGCCGAATGGCGGCCTTCGTCGAGCGAAATGGAGACGGGAGGCCCTACCTTTGTTACAGGAGAAATCGATGTCCTTGAGGTCACTCGAGCACTGGATCATCGAATCCCTCTCCCAATTCGCCACCTACTCTCCATCTCGGAACAGGCAACCGAACGTATGATGCAGCATTGCAAAGCGAACCGAAAGCGATTCGCTCTTGCACACGCAAAAGATCAGAAGGCGAGGGCGCCGCCTTCGGAGGAAAAGGCAGACGTCGCCCCTGATCCCATCCAAGTCGGATTAATACAGAAAGATGAACACTTTCTTCGGATCAAGCCGATTCCGTGGAAGTCAGCCGAATGTGATATTGAAGTCTGGGGAATGCCGTATAGTGCGATCATAGATTCGGGAGCGGCTGTCCTAGCGATATCACTCCGAGTAGTCGAGAGAGCGGGTAGGAAGAATGATTTGATTATGCTAACCGAGAAGGACCAACTTGTATCGGCCGACGAGGAGAAAATCAAGAAAGTAGGGCGTATGACGAATGTCGCGTTCCGATTGGGAAAAGTGCATGCTTTAGGAGATGTTGTGGTGCTGGACTGAATATGTATGACGTTTTGTTCGGGCTTCCTGCATTAGTGGCTCTGCGTGCTAATTTGGACTTTGAACGCCGATCCGTCATTCTCCGGAATACCGGGGGAAAGCCGTATGTAATACCCTTGAGACTAACTCTTCGAACGTCGGTTAAGGTAGTACCCCGAATTTCTCCAGAAACAATGGGAGCGCTCCGCTTGGTCTCCTGGAATGCACCTGTGGACGGAGGCCAATCATCGAACGACGCGTGGAGCGACGACGATGACGACCCAATCGTTACGCGGTTATTACGGCAGCAGATTCACTACCCGCCGCCTCGCACTATTGCGCGCACCATGCATCTAACCACACAGAATGCTCATATGTTGATCATGGGAGAACCCCTCGTACAAATTTCGAGGCTAGTTGATTCCTTGGAACCCCCTTGGACCCTGTACGAAGGCGTATCTCCCCTTCTCCTTCGGTATAGTGACAAGCGTTCCTTTTGTGATCTCACTAACTTACATCGATCCCTGCTTCAGCCCGCAAAAGAGGTTCAATTGTTGCGTTTGGGAGACGAAGCAGGTTCTTTGGAACCCCCTCAGCGCATCGAGGCAAGATCCGATGAATTCAGGATCAAAATTTCGCCCAAAAACGTGCCCTGGCGAGACATCTGCGACGGGATTACCCCCGAAGGTCATACAACGATCAGGAAGGAGGAAGCACAGATGGTGGCCACTGTGTTTTCTTGGAGATCGGATCACTCTTTTATATCGCACCACCTGACACTACTCGGCGTATACACACAAAGCAGGTTAACGTTCGGATTTTGGATCAGATGTATGAATTGCATGTGCCCCAGTATGTACCTGATGAGATCCATCGGTTGATCGCTGATATTTTAATAGAATATGAAGGGGCGATTAGCGTGTCCGATCCACTGCAAGCCGTACCAATACTCGTTGACAGAGCGCAAGACGGCCTTGCAGCGAATTAGGGAATTTGAGGCAAACGGATGGATTGAGCCCGCCACTGGTCCCCGGTCGTTCCCATTTGTGTTGGTTCCCAAAAAGAACGGGTCAGTCCGCATATGCATCGATTATCGAAAGCTAAATGATATCACGATTAAGTATGTGTATCCCCTTTCCCGGATTGATGATCTACTTGATGCGATCGGGTGCGCTAACTACTTGAGCAAGTTCGACATTCGGCATGGGTTTCATCATATCTTGGTGAAGGAAGAAGATCGGCCCAAGACCGCCTTCATTTTGTTTGAAGGCATGTGGCAGTGGGTTAGGTGCCCGATGGGAATGTGCAACGCGCCTGCCACGTTTCAGCGGGCGATAAACGTGACTTTTCAGAATTTCGTCAATAAGACGCGGCTGACACAGGGGATGATTAACTTCTGCGTCATTGTGTACATGGATGACATTCTGGTGTACTCGGACACGTTTCACGGACACGCGCAGCACATCGAATGGACGTTGAGTGCGTTGAGAGACGCAGGTTTCAAGATCGCGCTGGAAAAGAGCGAGTTTTTCCTCCCGGAAATCTCGTTCTTGGGGTATGTGGTGACACGTGGAGGCCTGCAGCCGGACTCTTGAAAAGTTGCGGCAGTCAAAGAGGCCCCGGTTTCGACCTCACTGACGCAGGTTCGAGCCTTCTTGGGCCTGGCCTCGTACTACCGGCGGTTCATCAAGGGGTTCGCGGATGTAGCAAGGCCTCTGACAAACCTGCTGCGAAAAGAACAGCCCCTTCATTGGGATGACGAGTGCGACCAGGCCTTCGGGGCCCTGAAGGATGCTCTCATCACGCGCCCGGAAATCTCGTTCTTGGGGTATGTGGTGACACGTGGAGGCCTGCGGCCGGACTCTAAAAAAGTTGCGGCGGTCAAAGAGGCCCCGGTTTCGACCTCACTGACGCAGGTTCGAGCCTTCTTGGGTCTGGCCTCGTACTACCGGCGGTTCATCAAGGGGTTCGCGGATGTAGCAAGGCCTCTGACAAACCTGCTGCGAAAAGAACAACCCCTTCATTGGGATGACGAGTGCGACCAGGCCTTCGGGGCCCTGAAGGATGCTCTCATCACGGCCCCGATTCTGATCCGGCCGGACCCCTCTCGGCAGTTTATTCTCATCACCGACTGACAGCCGGAGGCTATTTCGGCCATCCTGGCGCAGAAGGGAAACGATGGGAAGGAGCATGTCATTGAGTACGCTTCTCGGACGGTGCCAGACGAGCGACGAAACGATTCCGCTCCACAAGGAGAATGTTATGCGGTAGTGTGGGGTATCCAACATTTCCATCCGTATTTGTACGATCAGAAGTTTCTGCTCGTCACCGACCATGAACCTCTGTTGGCTCTGAAAAAGCTAACCAACTACACGGGCATGATCAGACGATGGGCGGTGCGGTTGCAAGAATATGAATTTGACATTGTCCATTGAAAAACAGAAAGACACGGCAACGCCGACGGACTGACACGTTTGCACCGACCCGGTAAGGTACCAAAAGCGGAAGAGATCACACCGTGGAAGGACTCGGACATCAACAACGGTCCAAAGTACGGAGAAGTTGCGGTTATTCCACGTGGCAAGAAGCCGGTGAAGGGCAATGGGTGACGGAGGTAATGTCCTGATTCCCTCTCTTTCTTCCCCATCCTCTTCTTTCGCCTCCCTTCCTGACAAATTTTGTTATTCTGCGAGTCAATTTCTCGAGTCTATTCCGTCCACATGTGTCCAAAAGGGAGGGGATATGTTGAATGGGTAGATTGTCGGAAATGTGTCGCACGTGCTCACGGTGCGTGCATACAGTATCGGAGTAGTGATAGACCCTGGTTCTGTCCCTTATGTTGCACTGACAGGATTCCGACGGAAGCCCGATTCCTCGATGCCACGTCGGAAGGCCCCGACAAAATCCAGAAGTTTAGAAGAGCGCAAGTCTGGACAGATGTCGCCTTAATAGCCACGGTGGTAGGCAACTCCCTCGAAACCTTCTCCAAGGAGGATCGGAGGAGGGCCAATGAAAGAGCACGGGATTACCGATGGGTGGATGGACGGTTAGAGAAGCATAAAACGGACGGCAGTGGAGCATGGTTAGTAGTTCCGCACCCGTTCATGCGGTACGACTGGGTACGAACCACCCACGAGGAAACGACGACGCATTTTGCCGTGCGTATTACCGAAGCTGCGATTGACAGAAATCAATGGTACTGGTCCAATATCCGGGACGACGTTAAATTCGTCGTCCAACACTGCCAGGTCTGCGCTGCTGACAAGGCCCCAACCCAACCGCCTACATCGATAGTTCCAACTGTGGTTGAAAGGCCGTTTCAGAGGGTTAGTATGAATACTACTGATATAGTGGTGCCCCCCAGACCGAATACTTGCGACTGTTCAATTCTGCTGATTTTCGTCGACCACTTTTCTAAGTGGATCGAGGCCTAACCCTGCAAGACACGACAAGCCGCAGAAATCGCGTGGTACGTCAACCGCTTTCTGGGCATGCACCAGGACACAGAGGAGATCTTGACCGACAATGGGGTCGAATTTAGAGGAGAAGTCGAGAGGAACCTGATCATACATGGCGTCTCCATACGGCACACGGCCCCGCACATGTCCCAGTCTAACGGATTAGTGGAAAACGCGAATAGGGTGATAAAAACGGCCTTGCGGTGGAATATTGCGGCACGAGACCCCCGACCCTGGCCTGATATTGTCGACCACATCTTGGCGGTCCATCGCGGAACGCCCCACGAATCGACGGGCCTAAGCCCCTTCTAGTTGCGGACCAATAGTGTCGCGTGTGTATCGATACCGAGCCTCCCCGACGAATCAGGACTTAACCGACGCCCCATAAGGGACACCTCTCAGGACAAAGCCAAAAGGCACTTGGAACTCATGGAGCGGTCCCTACCTAGACTGGCCCGGAAACGCCAACGGTCCACCGAATTGGCCCACGGCCAACAGGTCCGGAGTTACGAGGCCCGGAACGGGAATGCGGGTCCCAGGACCCAGTATAAGTTAGGGGACATCGTGCAGGTAAGGAAATGTGCACCCAAGGGTAAACTAGCGCCACGATTCTTCGGACAGTATCGAGCGATTGAACTCAGACCCAACGGCGTGGACACCGTGCGCCTCGCTCCCGAGATTTCTGGCAGCCGATCGGCTCGCCCGGTCACACGCCACGTGTCCTATCTCCGTCTTCTTCCCTCTGTTCCGTCTCCTTCTCCATCAACCTCTCCCGACGACGACTCTATCTCCTCTGCATCTCCTTCTCCTTCTCAATCTCTGTTGGATCCGCCGTCACCCTCGCCATCGCCATGAGCTATATGGAGGAGAGAGCTCTAAGTGAAGAAGCGGTGGTAGCACGGGGGAATTTGACACTGCGGCAGGTGCATCATCCTCGTCTTAGTCCGGACCTTCAGCGGGTTGCGCAATTTTTCTGCTCGAAGGGCGTCTACGCGGCAGCAGAGATCCACGTCGACGGGAGGGCTGGCGCGATCATATTGGCCGAAGTTGTCGGGTTGCGACAGCGAACATCTGTGGACGTCGGCCGGATAACGGTGGTGGTTAATTTCAGTGGGGATCTCACGACGATCCCCCCCATCCGACACACGAGAATCAAGGCGACGTTGCTTCTGTGGGCGCACAATCTTCAAAACGAGTGGACCAAGATCCTGGCGCACCAAGGGGACGTGATCGCACCAATCCGAGCGATCGAATATAACGGCCTTCGGCTGGATCGGCGTGACTCGCCGACGCAATCACCCCCTCTCATCCCCTTCCATCCCCGATGAGTTCCTTCCCGATCTCTACTCTCGAGCTTCCTTCTTCCTTCCCCACCTTTTGGCAGTCTGATCTTCATTCCCGCCTCTCCTTCTGCATAGATCCTCTGGTTGTTCCCCTCCTCGATCCCTCTCAGTGGGACGCGTGGCGCAGAGACTTCATTGAACTCTCACTGTGTTTGGCGGAAGTACGGGTGACGTGGACGAGGGATGAGAGCAATTATCCGCGGTCTGAGCGATTGGAGCTCCTTTTGATTCAAGCGTGGCGGACGAAAGTAGAGGGGGACCTTCTCGGTTTTCTATTCGAGGCAGTGCGTCCAGGCTGTCGGAGGCTTCTCACCCAGGAGCTTACGGTCCCAATTGCGCAGTTGGTCGACCATCTTGACGTCAGCATTGTCTCTCAGGTCGACCCGCGCTTGGTGCCCCACGTCACCTCGCGCACGCTGTCGCCGTATCTTCAGTGGTCAGCTTGCGTGGATGGCTTCCCATCGAGAATTCCGCCTTCACGGTTGGATTACTTGGATCGGCGCGACATCGTGGATCCCGCTTTCTACAGACCGCGGTACGAAGACGAATTGGAGGAGATAATCTGCGAGGAGCTCGCGGAAGAAAGTTCGGAGGAAGAGGAGGAGAATCCGAACGAAGACAAAGGGGAGCCGGCACAACGACGAGAAGGAGACGAAGACGAGCTCCTGCAAACGGAAAGTGAAGAGAAAGCAGAAGAAGAAGACAGCGAGCAAGGGAGCGGTGACGACAACGACGAGTAGCACGCCAACAAGGATCCCCAACTAGAGATTGCGCCGGTTGTTGATCTTCCGATCAGCAACGATGCAACGCTCGACCTGGAGCCACCTCTGCCAGACGACGGCCATGAGGCCCAGATGGCTAGGCCATCCGCTCGCCAGCCTCCTTCCCCACCACGACGCCGACGACGAAGCCGCTCCCCCTCCGCCTCCCTCTCCCTTGCGGTCCATCCCCCACTTCGAGCACGTCGAGATGAGGCCGATCGGTCTTCGTCCTCGGGCTCTCTCTCTCCGCCCCCATGACTTCCTCACCCTGCGCCAGCTCACCCGCCCCGCCGTCTTCCTCCACAACCCCTTCCCCCACGACACTTTCCGTCATTACTACTCCATCCGCCTCTCGGTCACAGTCATCCCCACTCATCCTCCTGGCGTGCTTCCCCCGAGTTCCCTCTCCATGTACTCCTCTTGAGCGTTGGATGGCGTCGTATCAACGCCGTAGAGGTTTATTGCCTCATCACGGGGTTAATCCCTGCATGCACCGACCGCGATCGCTTTCGCGAGGCGCTTCTTAGAACTTTCGCCACTCTCTATCCCGACTACCTCGCTTCTCTCCCCACTACACGCCGCCGATTCCCCCGCTTCCATAGAATCGTCCATCATCGGAGCCTTCCGGAGACGGACGATGAGCTGGAACGCTTCTTCCTACCTATCCCGACTCATCCCCCATCAACACCTCCGCCTGCCTATCGTCTTCCTTTTCCTCTTCCTCACGAATGACGACAACCAGGATACGACTGCCGCGCAGCATGACTTCCAGACTCGTTCGCACGGTATGCGGCAGAAAAGAAGACCAACCATCCACGGCCAATCAATCGAAGATGATCGACATATCAGCTAGCAAGCAGGAGCTTGCTTATCTTTGGAACCCCCTGGGCGTCACATATGTGACGAACTAGCTTCTGTAACGCGCGACTTTCGGCGCGAAGTGCTAAGCGGGGTCCCACGTCCATTGGACGGGTTGATGGAAAATTGCATGTGTGTCCTTTCTTTTTTGTTGTTTCTTCATTCTCGCATGAGCCCCTGATGACAGTTGGGGACAATTCGAGAATACACGGGGAAAAGGGGGCGAAACTTGGATGGATGCAGAATGCGCGCCGAGTGCGCGATTAATAAATATTGACGTCCCTTCTTTTCTTTCGTTTTCCTACTTTTAATTTTGTTTTGTCGGACTTTTGGGCGCGCAGACATCGCGCAGGAATTTCGGTGTCTCTTTTTGAATTTCTTTCTTGAATTTTCTTTTCGAATCTTGGTCGGAGCCATACGGTCTTCGGAATTTTGAGTTTCTTTTCGGACCTTTTCGGCAGACTTGCTAGGAATTTAGGAATTTTGGAATTTTTGTTTTTCTGGGGCGCTGCTCTGCATGTTCGCGCGCTCTTTCTTGCTGCTGCGCCGGAACCTTGATTGATTGGCGCCTCAATCCTTTTGCAACTGTAATTTTTGGCGCATACTTTTGTAACTGTCTCTTTCTGTTTTTTGCTTTTTTTTCTTCCCGCCTCATTTCTTCCTTCCCCGCCCCCCTGCCTACATTGGGTAGTCGCGTTTGCATGTTCGGATCGATGCGTGGAGTGGATACGTCCCCCACGCCGCGGCCCGGCCATGCAAACATAGGCACTCCCTCTCCCCCATCTATCTATGTCCTTGTAATTCCGTGTTCTTCGCGCATGCATTCACACTATAAATTCCGGCTGCGCGATTAACTTGCGCTCTTAACTATTGCTGGAAGCTCGGGGTTGCGCGACGACGGACTTTCGGCACACGAGCGAAGTAAGAGGTGAGTGAAGTGGGAGTCGAGCGACCCGACGAGCTTGTGCCAAATGCGCGGGGTTGACGCGGGCCACGACGGACTGTGGGCGCGGAGCGAACCTGACGGGCGCAGGAGGACTAAGCGAGGTGACGACTTCGTGGGTTGGTGCGCGACGACGGACTGTCGGCATCRGAGAGTGAGAGAGAGAGAGAGTTGAGGTTGAGTTGGGCATGGATTTGCATCTTTCTTTTTCGTTCCTTTTTCATCTGTGTATATAAAATTTTGGTGTCGATTACNAGAGAGAGAGAGTTGAGGTTGAGTTGGGCATGGATTTGCATCTTTCTTTTTCGTTCCTTTTTCATCTGTGTATATAAAATTTTGGTGTCGATTACAGGCGACTCGCCCTTGTCTTTTGCGGCCCTCTTTGTCGTTTGTTTCGACTTGGTTTTCTCTCAATGTTTTCCGTTTTGATTTCTTTCTCGGACTTTCTTTTCGCGAAATGATGTATGCATACCCCGCGCACATCTTGCACTTCGTTTTTGAATGACGTCCCGTACTTATGAAATCGGATGGGAATGGAGATGGCATGTTGGCATGATTGATTGGATGTCTGTCGTCTCACAATGATCATCTGACAAGCATGATCGGACGTATCGTATGCACGCACGTAAGCACGATCCGAACGGAGTGCGGCTTACACGCGTCCGGACCACTCGGACCCGTAATTTGTGTCCTGTCTGTCGCACGAGGTTAGCCCTTCGCCAGGCCGGGAGTTGATATCCACAGGATCGGGTTAACCATCGCCCGCAAGTGCGAGTAAGTGCGACTCATTCGCGTCTTTCTTACGCACTTACGGACGGTGATTTCCCCGAACAGCTTGTCCCCTAGGATGTGAGTGATGAAAGAATGACGAGCTCGCGGAGTTCCGGCGTATCTTGGAATTCCAAGGATTACGAGTCGTATTTCGGGTACCGAGAAATCTGGGAAGAAGAGCAGCTCCGATTATGGGGAAATTTGAGGAACCCGGTATTCCCCTGCCTCATAGAGAACAATAGATTTTGCGCTAGGGAAATCCATCTCGCCGTACGAAGCGACCCGCGGGGACCCAACTACCCAAACACGTACAACACGCAGTATTTCATAACTCCCGGCTTCGCCCTTATCGCCACTAATTTCCCGCCATACCACCTCCTCCTCCCCTATCATTAGCTTACAGTAGTACCGTGGAATTCCATAGCACCCTACTGGCCCTCCACCCTGTGCCGAAGCTGCAGGCGGCGTGCCCATACCCGAACCCCCGAAGCCTCGGCACCTGGGCCTTGTTCCCACCAACCCACGCCACGTGGCGGGCCCCGCAGACGTGAGCCCCAAGGAATGCGTCGACAGGCTCCCCAGATCTGGCGATCACGTCAGGATCGGACGGCCCTGCACCACCAATGTGCCAGCCCGCGCCCGTAAATTTTCCCATTGCTCTATTGCATCTATGCCCCTTAACCTTGCCACTGGAGATCCCAGTTCCGACCTGGGACTCCACCCCCACCTTCCAAAAATCCTTGGCACACCCCTTTTCGCACTTCCAGGCCCACACCCTACTCCGATCAGGAAGTCGCGCCGGGCATGAGGTTGGGCGTCACAGCCCCGTGCCGTGCCAAACGCACGGACTCGACGAACCGGACGTTGAAGCCTGAGCCGAACCGATTAGGGGGGGGTTCCTGCGCCCAAAGGCCGGGTGAACCTGGCGCCTTGGGGAACAGAACTCCCTTCCCATCGGCTTCGTATCTCTTCTCTCCTCCCCTCTCGTTTTGTTTTCTTCCCTTGTCCATGTGATGACGACGGCCGGCCCGTAGGACGCCGTCGTTCGTCCCCGGCGACAGCTCAAGCCCCATCCTGGGCACCTTGGCCCGAAGCAAGAGTCCCTTGTTTCGACCAGGCGGCTCAACCCCCATGGCCAAAAATTCTCGGCCACGCCCCTAACTACTCTGATCAGCGTCCGAAGTACGGAACGCCGCGCGGGGCGTTTGGTGGCGCATCACAAGCGCCCCTAAAAGATGTGGATAGAGCGGATTACCCGTCTGACACAGGAAATGTTTTGCGGACTGCCACTGGCGTCGGTTGGACCTGCCATCTTTGCAGAATACCCCTACCACGTACTGTCCATCTTTGCAAAACATCCTGGTACTTGGCTACTTTTCCAAGTCGGGCCAGTCCCTATTTATTTTCCTTTTACCCCTACCGGCCCAGGTCATATTTGCATTTTGCCCCCTGGTCTTTGCCTCCAAACCAACCGCATGTTGAAGAGAAGGCATGCCATTATGGCCGTAATCTTTTGGAGCAACTTTCTGGTTGTGCCGGACCCGCCGGGATGGAGACGAAGAAGGAGGTAGAGATGGAGCTGGAGGGGACAGCGCAGCTCCGACGCAGACTCCACACGCAAGTACTCSAAGATCTGCGAAAGTGAAGAATGACGAAAAACAGACTGCAGCTGGGGTATACCCCCAGCGGACTGACTGGACTGGACTGGACTGGCCTGGTACCGACCGTGGTACCGGGCGGGACTGGACTGGACTGAAACAATATACGGCCTGTGGGGTCAGGCCACGGCCTGGTCCCACAGGCCGAACTGGCAAATAGCCAAATAGGCCCTGGCTGTAGGCCAGGGCAGATGAAGGCCCGCTGCACTGGTCCTGTCCTTTTAGCAAATTAGCAGTTGTGCTGTGTGTGTGTGTGTGTGTGTGTGTGTGTGAGAGAGAGAGAGAGAGAGAGAGAGAGTGAGAGAGAGAGAGAGAGTTTGAAGGAGCAGCGGGCAGGAGGATGTCAGAGATGGCAAACGAGGAGAACTTGGAGGAATGGCGGGGGAGTAGGAGATGGAGGTGGGCAAGCTTACCAGGGCAAAGCTGCCGAACACAGCCGAAGTTTGAATCACGGAGGCAAACTGCCGTGCCTATGGGCCTGGATATTTAGCGAAGTTACCCATCATGTATGGAGGGCAAACCAGGTAAAACGGGGTGCAGGCCCAGGCCCCAACGACTCAGTCCAGATTGCAATTTTCACACGGGCCTGGCAGGTGCAAAACACAAAGGCCCAAAAGGGCATTCCGGTGTACCCACATCATTTAGAGGCATTTTGACATATATCTCAACTTATTGGGGTATTTCACAAATTATCCCTTTTTTTTTTTTAAAGGCAAATTCAATTACCTGTTAAATCTGGACAGCACGGGCTTCCAGGCCTTTCGTATTATCATTGTAGTATAACGGGGAACCCCTAGCAGCCAGCGAGCGGGAAACCTCCAGAACATCAACAAAAATTAACACCGATACTGCACCTCTATCAGATATAAGCATGGTGTAGTCTGAAACACTTGCAGCAAGCGAGACCGGAAATACGACCTCCATCAGGTATTAGTGTAGTAAGAAACACTTCTAGCAAGCGAGACCGGAAATCTTTCTCGTATCTGCTGAAGCAGCGCGTGTGACATCGTGGTGCTTGGCTGGGTTTGCGATTCGCCGCGTGGATGAGGGCATTCGAAGACGTAGTTGCGTGTATAAATGTTCAAGCGTCTCCTTTGGGATAATCGCTCTCCGCTGTGACCTTTCAGCTGTGGATTAGGAAGAATTTGATCGGCTTCTCTGTGGGAAAGTAGAGAGTAAGGGAGAGGTGTGTGTTCGGAGAGTCGCCACTTGCTCGACAAGTGTGGTCCTAAGTGGAGAGAGACGTTCCAGTTGTCGGTTTGGTTAGTGAAGCTTTCGGATAGCGATAGTTGAGGGAAACAGCGAAGGGAAATGGCGTCGGAGAAGGCTCGTTCTGGGGCGGGGCAGATTGGCGAGGCCGGCCGGGAGAAGTATGAGGAACTGAAGGAGACGGCGGCGCAGAAGACACAGGCCGTGAAGGAGATGGCGGCGCAGAAGACGCAGGAGCTGAAGGAGGCGGCAGCGGAGAAAATGGAGGCAGCCAAGCGGATGGCGGCGGAGAAGACGGAGGCGGCCAAGCAGACGGCGGCGGAGAGGTCCCAGGCGGCGAAAGAAGGAGCCCAAGAGAGGTACGAGGGAGCGAAGGGGTCGGTGGCCGAAAATATTCAGCTGGCCAAGGAGGCGGTGGCGGAGACAAACGCGGCGTTCAGAGACCAGACTGCTAGCGCGATACATGCTGTCCAAGAGTCGGCGAAGTCGGCGATGGAAAGCATACAGGACAAAGCGAAATCGGCTACGGAGGCCGTCAAGGAGAAGGTAGGCTATGGACAATCTCAGCAGTGAAAGGCTGCGTACTGGAATAGAAGTAAGGTGGTAAGCTGGCCGTCTAGCGAAGGGGAAGAGGTAGCCGCTGTGGAGGTAGGTGTGAGAGATACTCGTGATAGCCCTGAGCGGCTGCGGCTACCCTGAGGAGCACGAGCAAATGTACGATGGAAGAGGGGCATGGGTCCTCGGAGGTGACGGAGTGATGCAGACCACGTTGTACGTGATTCCTTGGAGTTGACGAGTGATGCAGACTACATACTTGTGGAGGAAAATGTGCTCTGGAATTGCAGAAAAGGGGCATCAATTTGACAGTGCATATGGAGAGGGGAACTGGAAGTCAGGTATGGAAATCGGCTAGCTCGTTTAGTGAGCCTCGGCTATGGAAGTTTGCTGTCTGAGAAAGAGACGATGTTCTCTGGAGAGAAATTTGAAGTGGCTGCGGCGAATGTACGAGGAGGTTAACCCCGAGACATCACACTGCTGCGAGGACTGGGTTGGTTGCTCGCCGTTTTCGAGTGCCTGAGCGAAGACAACAATAATCTAGGAGCAGCCGAATTTCGAGGACTGTGGAACTCTGGTTGTGGGAGTCTGTTGTTCTCTGACTGCTGATTTGTATCGCAAAGCAATGGCGTCGGTGAAGAGCACACACGACTGTCACAGCGGTGTCGGTGTTTGTTCGCCTTCACGGGGAAATAATTTCTGTGGGTAATGGATCAATGAGCATTGACTGAAGGAGAGAAGAAACTTCTGCGGGTAGTGGATTTATGACCGTTGACTGTATCACTGCGTGTGTGACGCGGCAATGTTTAATAATGTTACACGGCGACGTTTTTCAATAGTCGAGCCTTTCAAAAGCCTAGCCTGGCGTCTGTGACATGGGATATCATTTGATAGTGTGTGATACTAAGGAACATAGGTTTGGTGTAGGCCTCGCCGCCGGTCGGTATTCAGTTCTGCAGCGATGAGTGTAGCCGTCATTGTACTGCTGTTGCCCATGGAGGGGACAATGAACTCGGTTCCCAGCAGCAGGTGCATTGTCTAGCTGTTGAGTGGAGCCGAGAATTTGGGGATGACTCCTATCACCCCCGGAATAGGTGCCTGGTGGGAATTGCTGATTTCGGGGGGGGGGGGGGGGGGGAACGGTTGTCTAGTATGTCCACCCGTAGACGAAGTGACCGAAGAGCCCTAGGATGGGAAGGACGAAGAGATTAAACCACCAGTACTTGGCGCAGCCATCGGCCATGGAAAAAAATAGAGTAGAAACTTGTCTAGTTGGATGAATCTGGGGGCTCTTGTAGTGGCCCGTACGTTTCCTAAAATTGTGGCTGATGTCCAGCATGACTTAGGGAGTAGTGGTGGTTTAGGAGCAACTCGGCGGTATTACTCGCACAATCATGATGTTCTGAATGATGATTGCAATTGTGTCCAGAATGCAAGTCGAAGAGGGGTTGTCTTTAATACAACGCACGGACGTTATTGCTGTATCTAGACTGAAATATACGGTAAGTACAGCTGGAATGGCCGTCCGTTGTATTCGGGTGACGAAGGTAGTGCAAATGCGCCCTAAGAGACGTATGAGGCAAAATTTGGTCATGCCATTGTCTGTAGCCATAACTATAGACAGTTGGTCATGCCATTGTCAGTAGCTATAACTGTAGACGGCGTGTCATAAAACGACAAATGTGCTGCGCTAATGTGTTCGTGGCGTTCGTGGTAACGTCCGTCGTCGTCGATGATGTATAGTGACGTTGTATGAGCTGGGGCGTCGATCAGCCGGGTGTCCCATCTCCCATGGATGGTACCCGGGTCGATGATGTTTTCAATGAATTTTAAACGAATATGGAAATGAAAGAGAGCGGGGACAAAATGAAAGAGGGCGGGGACAATTTTGGTCTCGGACGAGGGAGTCGATTCATATTGACGATCATAATGATGTGATTTCATAAATTGCAATCAGATCATGGCGACAATGTGGAGAGGTGTTACTCCTCGCTTTCCCCACCCTGATTGCATTATGGTTCTCTGCCTGACACTCGTTCTTCCTTCAGTTCGTCTCCTCTTGTCAATCGTGCATGAAAAGCGCTATGCCACATCTTGGCTCCTTGTTGCGGGGGGTTAATTTCAGTAGCGTCGCAAAAAACGAGTTATAATTGCACTATGGGGCAAGATACAGTTTCCAATTGCACTTCGGGTCCTACCTGGCCAAAAAGTGGGGTTGTATACATTGCCCGAACGGCAATTCGAAACTGTATCTTGGGCTGTAGTGCAGTTTTAACTCATGTTTACGACTCCCGCGTCGTTTCCCCTCCTATTTTTGCTGGTCAAAACCCCTCTCCCCGTCCTTTTCTGTGTTCTGAAGGGAGAACGCCTTGAGATATCCTAACCGAGCTGACCGGCCCCATGTAATTCGGAAATGTTTGTCTAATTTGTTATCTGATTGCGTCAAAGACGGAAGTATTAGGGGAGGAGGACGGCGATACGGTTGGGTAGTGCACATGGAGTTAAGAATTTTCTGTGTTTGCTGGAAATCGAGTTGCCATTACTGTCCTCAGCCGAATCGGACGCGTGACCTTTATCGCTGTATTTTCGCTGAAGGGTACCGAAATACCGCTGCATTGGCCATGCGTTGTGTCCGTTTGAAGCTGGCAGATGGGTAAATTTCAAGAATGTCTGTTACCTCCACTTTGGGTGCTGTGATACGTTCTTCTGTCCAGAGCTGGTCTCTGTAGACCGATGCTGCTATGGGTTGCTGTGCTTGTCTCATTGCCAAACGATCGTGAAGTAACATTTCACCGGTAGCATGTGTTGTAACATAGCACCTCTTGCCCAGGGGCTATTTGGAGGATGGGTATTGTTTGTATGAACGTAATGGAATGCCAAGGTCGAGGGCGAGTAGAGAAGAGTTTTTTAAGGAGGAACGTGGAAGTGAAGAGTGCAACTCTATGCGTGTAATCCTTGGAATCGCAGGGCCCATGCATGCTAATCTATCTTCTCTGTATCGTTCCAATTTAAATTTAAGGGTTAATAGCAAAAATATTGCTGTTTCGAAGTTTGGCAGCAAAAATGTCGTCCGTTCGAAGTTTCCTTTGCATTAGAGGTTTCGTTACAGCTTTATCGCGTTCCCATAATTTGCCATAAAAAATACCGCGTTTTGCCCAGTTTCACGGCGAAGGAACCCTAGGCCTCTGGCCTCAGGGACTCAGGGACTCAGCGTTCGTTTTTTTTTTTTTTTTTTTTTTTCCCGGGCATGGCTGGGCGTGGCCACGGCCGAGATCCTCGACCACGGCCGCAAAAAAAAAAACAATAAAACAAAAAAAAAACAAGAAACGTGGCCGGCCACGGCCGAGATGCCTCGGCCACGCCCGCGGAAAAAAAAAGAAAAAAGAAAAAAAAGAAAAGCTGAGTGCCTGAGGCCAGAACGCTGAGGCCCTGAGTCCCTGAAGCCAGGGGCCTAGGGGTCCTTTGCTGTAAAACTTCGCAAAACGCGGTATTTTTGCTGGCAAACTCCCGGAACCGGATAAAGCTGCAACGAAATCTCTATTTTTGCGAAGGAAACTTCGAACGGACAACATTTTTGCTGCCAAACTTCGAAACAGCAATATTTTTGAAATTAGCCCTAAATTTAAAGGTAGTATGAGCCGAAAGACTACCTTGCGCAGGCAGTGGGACCCGATCTTGCCTTCGGTCAACAGCATAAAACACCCATTTCTTCGGCTTCTACTACTTCCTGTGGACCTGTGGTTTGTTTCGACTATTGCGGCCGACTGGAAAACACCTTCCCCAAGGGTGCATGCTGCGAGGAGCGTTGTATTGCGACTTCCATGGTGCACGCGAGGAGCATGTGCACCTTTCACGTCGGCAAAGCGCGAGCCAGTGCGCCCACTGAGCACGAGTACCTTTCACACCTAACTTTCGGATTGTGTTTTTTTTGCTTTTTGCTTTTTTTTTTTTTTTTTTTTTTTTTTAACTTGTAAGGCTCCAATCTATATTCTTGGGGAGCCTCACGTGCTGGGAATTGGGCTCAGCGTCTCTTACGAAGTACATACTAGTAGGTGAGAGATGAGAACAAGGCTCGTCCGATTCCACTTCGACCAGGGCTGGGTAACTTATCAGCCCTGGTGCCTATCACTGCTGTTCGGTCCACGTTACCTGCCCAATGGTAGGGTAATGGTCCTTAGTGCTGGTCACAATGAGGTCGGATAGTGGGATAGGGGGTGCGCTAGGAGTATTGACGTGACGATGGGATGGGAGGTGGTCCCATATTCCAGGACACCCACGGCCTACTGCTCCAGGTGATCACTGTGTACTCAGTGACTGGCCTCTACAACATCATCAGGAGAATTTTGGGGCGCGCAAGTAGACTGAAGGACGACCCACTGGTACCCCACAGTGGCTCCTGGATGTATTCGAGACGGTGGGTTAGGGGGGAAGAGGGACAAGGGCTGCTAGCTTTTCGTGTAGGATCTGGCATCCGGTGAGACGGATGAAGAAGCAGGACCCACTGCTAGCTGGACCCTCAGCCCCCCCGGACCGGCAACCCCCACCCACCCGAATCCTCCTTATGGCCTCACACCATCCTCGGTAATGGGTGAAGGGAGCGTACAGAGAAGTGGTTCTCACACACCGCCTCCTGCAGTAGTTCGGCCAGGGACACGTACGGTGGTTCTTTCGGGTGAGTACCAAGAGTCCCACTGCCCATTGCACCTCACCACGGACGCAGTGGCCGGACCCCCCCTCGCCCTACCGCAGCGTGACAGTTAGGCGGCAACATCCACCGTACCGACTACTGCCTAAAATGCTCGGTACTTTTCCGCCACAACCAAAAACGCAACACACACAGCATCAACGTCTCCCCTCTCCACAAATGGAAAGAGGGGTCCGCCCATCGGCTGGACTGTTTCCACTCGTGGTTTCGTTGATTGTCCAAGGCGGTGCACGTGCCTCCATGGTACGTCCACATGCACATGAAGACGACCGACGCACAGCCGCATTCAGATGCACTGCCCAACTTACAACACACAACCCCCTTGAAACAGCATGCCCTTTAAGTGTGCTGCAGCGACTCCACTGTCATGATGAGGTGGTCAGAGTGACGTAGGGATTTTGCTGGCGGGTTCTTTACTTTGCATTTTTGAAAAACAAAAACGGTTCCTTTTTTTTTGTTTTTAAATGCAAAACGGGTGCACAAACCGTTTTACGCGTTGCTCGTCGGTCCAGGCCCCAGGATCGCTGGATGCATGTCAGTAATACTCCCAGTGCACCCCCTGTCCCTACTATCCCACCTCGATGTGACCAGTACTCAGGACCATCATACCAGTATCGAGGGCAACATGGACCAGATAGCAGTGACAATTACCAAGGCTGGGCTACCCCCGGATGTGGAAGCGGAAGCGGACAAACCTTGCCGCACGGGCAAACTTCAGACGAGTTGGAACGCCAGGCTCATGCAATGTTCTACAGGCCCAATATCGGAGAGTTTACCCACTGTACCCAGCAGTAGTAGCTAGGCAAGGCAAGCTGGCGCCCATGGACACATCCTACCGTCCTTCCCCTAACTAACCCAAGGCTCGGCGGAACTCAGACTAGCCGAAGCGAATTATATCCCTACCCGACCTGTGTATACGCCTGTATGAATACAGGCTGTTCATATGTTCGGTAAGAAGCGTCAGCGTTTAGAGGGGGGAGGGGGGTGACGCATGTCGGGGGTCAAACCCCAGAGACACACACAAAAAAAAAAAAAAAAGTCAGAAAAAGAAAGATTGATTGATTGACTGACTGATTGATTGATTGATTGTGTAAAAAGGGAAAAAAAGGAAAATGCTGTTCAACACTTGGCTACCAGCCGGGCGGCCCGGGTCCCGGGTGGCCAGCCCGTTCAAGGACCAGGGAAGGTCCCAGCAAAAAAAAATAAAAAAAAAATCGAAAAATCCGAAAAAAAACTATGTTATGCAGAACAATAAATTGAACAACTTTTGCCTCAGGGTGACATCGAAATTCTTCACCAAATTTAGAATAAAAAATAAAATTAAAAAATCATTTTATTTTATTTTATTTTATTAATTTTTTTGGCCCGGCCGGGCAAGTGACCCCGGGCCACTCTGGTAGCCTAGGTTCAACTTCAACATATATATATATCTCCCTCTCTGCCTACGGTTTACCGGGCAGTTCTATTTGACGATATTTACCGGGCAGTTCTGTTTGTGACGATATATATATATATATATATAGTCGGTGAAACTCCGACGAAACAGTTTGCCACAGCCCCTCGTTTGTTGTCCTCTTCTCTCTCTCTGCCTACGGTTTACCGGGCAGTTCTGTTTGTGATGATATATATATACATATTCAATTGTTTGATTGATTGATTTTTTTTTTTTTTTTTTTTTTTTTTTTGGTGCTCACTTGATTGATTGATCAGTAGATCAAAACAATAAATCAAAGAGGTACACACACACACACACACACACACACACATGCGCGCGCAGACTGCACACACACGCGCACACACGCGCACAGACACACACCCACACCCACACCCACACCCACACCCACATGCACACACTCGCGCACGCGTGCACACACACACACACACACACATGCGCACGCACACGCACACACACGTGCACATGCTCACACACACGCACACACGCACACACGCACCGACACACACACACACGGACGGTGAAAGTCCGATGAAACAATCTGGCACAGTCAAGCATCTTTGAGTGCATAGAGAATATGACAACATACACACACAAACGCACAGGCACACACCGTCTCTCTCTCTCTCTCTCTCTCTCTCTCGCGCGCGCGCGCGCGCGCAGGCGCGTTCGTCCAGGGAGAG